GAGCATGATGCATCGAGAACTCGAGGCTCAATGCATTACTGTCGCTGCAAGGTGTGGACACGGTGGGAATAATCGCGAGCATGATGCATCGAGCCTCAGTTTCTCGATGCATCACTCTCGCTGCAAGGCACGGATGTGGTGGGAATAATCGCGAGCATGATGCATCGAGCCTCAGTTTCTCGATGCATCACTCTCGCTGCAAGGCGCAGATGCGGCAGGAATAACCGTGAGGAGGATGATGCATCATCCTCACTGCACGGCGTGGATGTGGCGGGAATAACTGCAAGGCACGGACGTGGTGGGAATAATCACGAGCATGATGCATCGAGCCTCAGTTTCTCGATGCATCACTCTCACTGCAAGGCGCAGACACGGTGGGAATAATCGCGAGCATGATGCATCGAGCCTCAGTTTCTCGATGCATCACTCTCGCTGCAAGGCGCAGATGCGGCAGGAATAACCATGAGGAGGATGATGCATCATCCTCACTGCACGGCATGGATGCGGCAGGAATAATCGTGAGGAGGATGATGCATCGAGAACCCGAGTTCGATGCATCATTCTCGCTATGCTGCAATAATCCAATAATCAAATGTGGTACTCACCGAAGTGACAATGCAATGATAAATTATGAATGTCTGTAGTAAGTGCTGAAGCATACAGATATCACTGTACTGACGGGAAGCCCTGGCGCATACATAAATGGTCAGCATGGCCAGCTGGCCCAGAGCAAGAGAAATGAGGTGGCGAATAGGTGCTAAAGTGCGCAGAAATTGGCATACCTACATTACCAGACAGGCGACGTCACACAGCGTAGGACAGGAAGAACAAAAAGATTCCAATTCTGGAAAGGACAGAATGATGGGGGAAACTGAGTTGTGAAGTAGTCGGAGGCGCTGACTGGTCAGGGCGGGAAAAGAGCCCTGATACGGGAAGAGCAGGGATGATGGCAGAAGCGTGGGCTTCGTGATGAATGGGGCACACCGAATCACGGAGGGAGGCCGGCGTGTGGGTTGATCAATCACATGCAAGGACCATGTGATGCATCATGGTGTGAGGGAGGAGGCCGGCGCGAGGAACTGCAATACAAAGCAGAGGATGCATCATCAGCTGCTACAATTGGAGCGAAATGATGCATACTATAATGCTATGGCTGTGGGGATTGATATAATACCCTGTTGGCTGTGAGGGTAGGGATGATGAATCACCCTGCCAGGTACAGGTGGATTGTATCCTCGACGGCTGCCGCAGCATGATCAATGATCGATAAACTTTGTTTTGGCATGATCTCTGCTACTGACATTGCTGTTTGTTGTGCACGGAGGAGCAGTTGGGCATGATCAGCAGACTCGGGTAGCCAGACCTTGGGCACTGCTGTGCCCTGCTGTTGGATGTCTTCCAATTTGAGGAGTGCTGCTCGCATATGCTTGCAGGCTCCACCGCATGATGCGAAGTCTCTACAGCTGCACTGACCAGTGCCATTCATGTGCAAAGTGACAGTATACATCACAGAAGAATCCTCGGAGGCCAACGCAAGTGAGGAATAGCATGAGAAGGTTAATATGGACCCCGTTGCATCCACAGTGGGTGAGCCTATCTGCCTGTGAGCAAACAGAGCTGTAGCTGCTTCATCACGGGTGCAATCTGGTTCCAGGTATGCTGCATGTTCATCTGTATGTTGTGATCCATTGTTCTTCTTGAGAAGAGCATGCCCTCCAGGAATCAAATAAATCTGCTCTGCACATAAGTGAGCTGCCTCTGCTTCCATCTCACGTTGAGAGATAACTGATGGCAAGATCTGGCTGACAAGCATCGACAGAAGCACATCGACACAAAGACGACGCCCCCCACGCTGCCAACGCCGTGAGTGTTTTCGTTTTAATACTCCATTAAATGATTCGAGGTGATTCGTTGTCAGCAGGACACCTTTGAGATCGCAGTCGAGGATGGTAGCAGCCTTTTGTCGACCGAAATTGGACCAGCTTTGCCACAGTGCATCGGTCGTCCAGTAATTTAATAGGTAGTCACGAAGATGGGTGATCCCCTTTTCGGCAATGCTTGAATGTTCATCGGCATCGCGCATTGTCTCCAGGACATTGATCTCCTGCTGAATAATGGTATGTGCATCATCTAGAGTCATTGTCTCTATGAGAGACACTTCCACTCTGCGTAGCTGGTTCTTGATGTCTAGGTGTGCCGGTGAATTCCCCTTGACAGCCTTGTTCCGATGGTTCCACCAGGACTGACACAAATGAAACTTGCAGATCAGCAGCCAGATTCCTGAGAATACTGACACGAGAGCACCTCGTTCCATCAGATCAGTATCTGTGATGGCAACATATACCATGAAGGGCCCACTGCGGCTCTTCTCCAGTGAGTTTTTCCACTTTTTCAGTAGTCTCTCGAGGACTTCCGTGTTATAGCCAGCAGCTGTATGGTGATTTCCGGAGGGTGCAGAGAACTGGAGAAAGGCAAGTGGTATGCCCTTCCGCTCCTCATCAATTGCCATGATGATGAATAGCAGAATCTTTTTATCGCATATGCCGAACGTCCCATCAAGGATGATCTGCGATTTATTGGCATATTGCCAAGCTGCTTCGCGCATCTTCAGGGTAGCGATGCACACTTCGAAGTGTTCACCCCGACTGGCCCTTGGTGAGTAATGAAAGACAGCGTCGGCAAGTACAGAGTTGTAGCGGGGCGACATCAGATCGAGCCACTCATCAATATTGATGTGTGCCGGTACTGTGGTATCAACACCATGCATGCGATTGTGTTGGCGGTACAGTGATCGTGTGTCGCTGGCCTCCAAGAACCATCGAAATGGAGCTTTGACATCATAGTGAGCGCTCGAACTCATCTCTGGATAGGATCTGCAGCTGACAAGACTTCTGTTTCTGTCCTGAATGTCAGACAGAGTGGCTCCTGCTTCTAGTTGCTCTAGAGTGATATGGTATACTGATGGATGAAGGGGGACTTTTGGTATCCGTGCGATTAATGCTTCCTGACATGCCAGATTATGATCTAGGAACCCGCGAACATGTAGAATGGCACGTGATGCAACAATCAAGGTGATCTCGGCATGTGCCAGACAACCAGTGAAGTCAAATGCGGTATGTCGCTTCTTGGAGCCATGAATGGTATGATCATAACCGCAGTCACTGTAAACTAGATCAGCAAGAACACCCTATATCCATGACAGTAGGTTGCACACACCACTGAAGAAGAACTCGTCTCATCTGTGTGGCCTTCTTTTTTTCTCCACTCACTCTGGTCCACCTCACACTCCATCGGTTTGCCAACGTCTTCTGAGACTCCCAATCCAGATCATGCATGGCCAATAGTGCTGCAGCATCCCGCTGCTCGCTTTGATTGTCTGCATGGAACTCTCTGGACAATGGTGGTTGTCCTCCAGCATATAGGTCCACGATTGCTTTTTTCTGGCCTTCGTTGAGCATAAGCTTTTGAATATAGACTTCAGATGCGATGCTATGTGAGGTGAGTCCGCCTTTTTCACCGCTTGCTTGCTTGACTGACAGATTTTGCCAAATATTCCGTTGCATCTCGTCTCAGTAAAGATACATATGTCGCCAAGAAAGGACAGTCAGGTAAGTGTGATAATGAACATAAGGAGTGCAGTGATGGGGACGACGATGAGAGCAACAACGATGGATGCAGGCACGACGAGGGACTTAGGGGACGGTGTGCGCCTATATACAGGTATTAGTATATTTTACATCATACACTAGTATTGCACTGAATAAATATATTCAATGCTATGAACAGTGTAGTCTACATCATGAGCACAGTGACGAGGACAATGACGACGAGAGCGACAACGACGAGAGCGAACGACAGTGAGACGAGGGACTTAGCGCGCGAGCAGGGACATGCGCGCGCCTATACACGGGCATTATCTTATCGCCACTCTTCCAAAAACAGTGCCATCTTATCTTATCGTAGTGTTGCCACGGTCTGGTCCGGTTTGGTTCGGTGTGGCTATGATGGCTCCCACCTCACCAACGGCTCGGCTAAGCTCCAATCGTAACAGCTAACCCACGGTTCGGTCTGGCGTCGGCTCGGTCACGGCTGTAGCTGTGGCTACATCCCAAATAGGTAACTGTAAGTGTACAGACTGAAAAATCTACTCGACAACACGACATAAGCTCATGAGCAGTGCATGCACATCCTCAGAGTTCTCCATTTGAGCTGATGAGATGTCACAAAGCTCCCTGAGTTCCTCTTCTCGTGTCAAACCATGTGTGAATGTCAAATCAATCCCCTTCCGAGCTGAAAACTTGAGCACCTGGAGGGCTTCCATTAGCTGCAGCTTGATACGGTTACGCCGTGCTGCCTTTGTTTCCTTTGCAGAGGAAAAGATACGCTCGCATGGAACTGCTGAAGCTTGAATAGGTAGGATGTCCATTGCAAGAGCGAAAATTGTTGGAAACCGATGACGATTTTCCTGGCATGATGATTAGCATCAGCCGACAGAGTTACTAATAAAACTTCAATTTCAACATTACCTGCCAGTATTGCAGAGTGTTCGAGGAAAAGCTTTCATCCAGAAAGTATGACTGAACTTCGGCTTCCAGACTTTGTTGCTGTGGTCTGCGCAATCGCATACGATTTCCCAGGCCAAG